GTTAACAAGGAACCAGGAAGTGCAAAGTCACTGAGGTAATGAATTACTTGCAAAAGAATGTGTTACCTCTAGCTTAAGGTTGCTTATGTTCAAGGAAGGTTTCCATGGATGCTGTTGTAAAGAATACTGTTTGTTAAATGTAAATCTGAGATTGAGATCTGAGATGCAGTACAAAAAGGGTAGTACTGCCTGTTTAAAACATTCTAGCTTTGTGAATGTACAATGGAAACACATTAGCTGTGACTTCAGTCTGTGGAAAATGTTTGTTTTAAGGAAATGGCTTTTTGTGTGTAGAAGTATGTATCAGTCATTTTGAAAAAAATATTCTTGCTAATTTCTGCCTGTTATCTTGTTCCAATTTAAATTTTGTCATATCTAAGAAATGAAAGCTTTCCCTGTGTGTTGTGGCTTTAAGTTTAATTGGGCTGATAATAAATGAGGCTATTGATAAATTCTACTATTCCTGCTTCTATGTGAGTCCAAATACATTATATGTCAATACAAATGCAGAAGGCAATGGTACTATGTGACTATATCACCCCCTTATAAAGGAGTTAGCAAGAATGATAAAGTAACCCCAAATTTCAAAAGTAGATTGAGGGGATTCCTCAAAAAGAAAATTCTGTGTCTTGCGGCACACTTTACTCAATAAGAAGTCTGAATTGTGAAATCACAGAATCACATAACATTTTTTAAAGTGCAGAAGCCATTCAGCCCATTTTGCCTACACCAGCTGTATGATCAGGTAAGGCAGAAGCTAAAAATATTGTGCTTATGCCATGGATTATGGTCCCTATTACAGATACAGCCTTGTGACAGTCAGTTCCTGATTGCAAACCACTTCATTGCTGGAGGATATGGACGAAAAAAGTCATAGGCTGGAGACTGCATCACTCTACCTGAATGGCTGAGTTGTTCAGGTACCGGAGATGTTCTCGGCAGCGATGGTTTCATCATTTTCCCTGCATAGCCAGACCCTCCACGGGTTTCTATTTCAGCATAGACAGGAGATATCTGAGAACAAAGTCCCACTCCAGTCAGCATCATAGAGAGAGAAGACAACAATAACAATAAAAACTTATATTTTATACAGTGCCATTAATATAATAAAACCTGCCAAGTTGCTTCACAGGAACATTATAAAACAAAATATGATGTTAAGCCACATAAGCAGATATCAGGTTATATGGTCAAATGTTTGGTCTGGGGGAATGTTTTAAGGAGTGCTTGAAAGGAGGAAGGTGATTGATGTATGGGCATGAGGTAGTGGGGTGGGAATTCCAAAGCAGAGTAACTAGATAATGAAGGCACAGCCACAAATGTTGGAGGGCTGGGATTAGATGACAACAAACATTTTGGAAAGCTGCAGGGAAGGAGAAGATTACAGAGATAGGCAGGGGTCAAGGCCATGGAGGGACTGGAAAAACAAACATTACAGTTTTAAAATTAAAAATTGTTTGATCATGAGCCATACAGTAAGCACTAGGTCGATATATGAAAAGGTACTTGGTGCGAGTTAAGACAAGAGCAGTAGGATTTTGAATTATCTCAAGATTACACAGCAGAGATAGAATGTGGGAGACCAGCAAGCAATAGATTGAAATAATCAAGTCCAGAGATATGAATGGCACAAACGAGGGTTTAATTAACAGCAAAATAACCTAAAGCATAGGCAAAAATGGACATGTTTTGGAGTAGAAGTAGGCAAATATAGTGATGGTGCAAATATATGGTCAGAAACTCACTTTGGGGTCCAATGTGATACCACCAAGGATATGAACAGATATATTTATGCTCAGATTGTTGCTGGAGAGAAAGCAAGTCCGTAGCTAGGGAGTGGAGTTTGAAGCAGGGACTAAAAAATATTGACTTCATCCTTCCCTGTATTTAATTGGAGAATTTTTTTTGTTTATTCAGCAGTGGTTGCCTGGCAAACAGTCTAATGACTTAGCATCAATGGAGGAGTTGAGTGATGCACCTCATCAGAAGGTGAGGTTCAGCTGGCTAATGTCAGCATACATGTGAAAACTAATCACTCAAGCTATGTCACAGCGAGAGTGACTGGAAATACATTGAAATATAGCACTCACCTTTCTCAGGTTGGGTGTCTCAGGGAGAGATGTACCATCTCCCGATTGTCGCTCTCCAGGAGTAAGGCGGATATATGTATCCACAGCATCCCCACGGCCTCCTGCAAATAACAGGTTTAGATTTACAATCACCAAGTCCTGGTATCTTGATATTGTTACTGTGAGAGGTATGTGGTATATTAGGGCGTGTGATATATTGAGGGGTCTGAAGCATGTTAGTGATTTCTCAAAGTAGTACAGTACTACAGAAATGACCTGAATGATCGAGTCACAATGACAAAGGCTGCTTTGGTTGATAAAGACAATCAAGATAGAGCCAGATTTGAATAATATTGCCGCAAACAGCCTCACATTGGCTGGATAAGTCTGAGTAACCAGACATTGGCTTGATTCACTAGACATACTGTTGCCTCTGAATCAGAAGGTCATCGGCCAAAGGCTCACATCAGATCTAGGCTGGCACTCCAGTACAGTGCTAAGCGAGTGCTGTACTGACAGAGGTATCATTTTCAAAGAAGGCATTAGATCTTTGCCCTATTAGCCATCAGCTGGATATAAATATCCCACTATATTAATCAAAACAGAGAATAGGCTCTAGGGCAAGGTACATGAGTTCAAGCCTGCTTTTGTAGGCACAATGCTAAGTGAACCTCTGATAATAACATCTAAACCTTGAATAGAGCTCTCAGTATTTATTCAAATGCCTCTGGAGACCCAGATCTATCCTGTCAGATAACAAGAACTGATGATTCACAAGATCTCTTGAATTCCTCCATAAATTGCTTTTCTGGCTGAGCACCAAGCTTTTTTTTTCTTTTTTAAATGAGCAGTGTTACATTCCTCTCTTAACGTAAATCACTTTAATTACCAAATCTGAGAGAGCCTGACAGGATCCGATTTCCTCATTACCATCAGACAATCTGCCTTTTATCAAATACTCTGGAATTCTGCAATTCAACTCTAAACCCACTCTCAAACATGGACAGTAACCATTCTCAAACTAAGAATAATACACTGATTCACAAAGATTTGGTGACAACCTTAGCAATAACAAAGCTATATGTGTATATATGTAAATATATATTATATACATAGTATATTAGTGATGACTACATCTTGTTATAAACAGTGGAGGTAAATTCTAACTTACAGAAAACAAATCCAACCTTCAAAAGAGCAATCTAAATTCCATGCAATGAAGCAAACCTCAGATACAAGGAAAGTAAAAAGCATGACTTTAAAGTCTAATAGGATTGTCACTCTGGATGAACAAATCCTGGAGATATCATCACACAACCCCTCCAACCACTCTACCCATTCCTGCTGCTGGTGCACCCTTACAAGGCCTTACCTCAAAATAACAATTTGCAAGGCAATCAACAATTTGTTGTCTGATGATTCCTGATAAACAGCAGTCAAATAGTCTTTTCTCCCACAAGTCCGTTACTTTTAGTAAGAATAAACAGAAGTGTTCAAATACACATTTTTAATGCCCCTGTGTTTTTTCTCTCTCAGGTATTGCTCACAGTAGAGATCTGCAGATGGCCTTTAATTCCTGGAAACTCCACACTCTGAGTACCAAATAGAAGACAGGTAGTTACATGGCAGTAAGACATAAATGGTCTTGGAATACATGACTTGGACTGTTTATTACAGTCAACAATAGCATTAAATAAAGCCTTGCAGGTGAGACTTCATCTATGTGTAACAAAATGATACCTGGTCTAAGGGCACTGAAATAAACTTTATGGTTCATTGTTGCATTTGCTGGAAAGGCACAGACTTCAAAGGAATACAAACCAAAATTATTAAGCACTTACTTAATTGGGGAAACCAATGTGATTGGCTGAATAGAACATCAGCCATCAGTTAAATTAAGAAAGCAGAGAACAAAAATGGCTTTGACGTAAGTTTACTTACAGAGATCAATCATGAAACAGCAACTTGGGAATGACTTAGTGAACTCACTCCTTGCAACCCTTCAAGAAGATGCTAGACACTGGAGATCATGCTGACGGAAGGGAAGAATTTAGATAATATTTAATGGAATGCAGTTTGTCTTGGATTTGCCTGACTGCCCGAGAGGCTTTTTTGATCAAGGTTTCCTGAATTGGCTGAAGTTGGATAGATGTTGTGTAGCTTTTGTTTGAACTACATTCACAGGAAACATGTTGTTGGATAGCCCAGCTTTTAATGTCCACCCCTAATTGCAGTTAAAAATCAATCATGTTGCTATGGGTCTTGAGTCACATGTACGCCAGACCGGGTACTGCTTGTAGATTTCCTTCTCTAAAGGACATTTGTGAACCAGTTGGATTTTTGGCTTTTTGGCTTTTTATTAATTCCAGAATTTTTTTTGTTGAATTCAAATTTCACCATCTGTGATGGTGGGATTCAAACCCATGCCCTCAGAATATTAACTACCAGTGACATTACTATTGTGTCACTGCCTCCCAAAGCTAATTCAGCAGGGTATTAGATACATATTGAATAAGATAAATTGGTCAGCTTTTCCAAAGAAACAGCACTGACATAATGGGCTGAATAGTTTCTTGCGGCAATGACTCGTTGATTCTCGGTCTGTGGTATCTTTTGCACCTACAAATGGGAGAACAGGGATCCCGAATGAATCCAATAGAAACTGACAGAAGATGACAAAAGGAGATTAAACATATTTGACGGATATCCTTTTGTCATTTTGTGTATTTTACTTTGCAAAATAAATCCAACTGAGAATTGAGAAACAATTTCAGATAGAAATGGATTCAAATTCAGAGACAAAGTACAAAACTCCAATTAGAAAGTAACATCAAGAAGCACAAAGTGCAAGTAAGCAACAATGTCTGGGGAAAGTATAGTAAGTCATTGTAAATAATGTCTTTCATGTGTTTGCATACTGAAAGCAACAAGATGTGATTGAGGATTGAGAGGTTCATCTAACACAAGACACTAACTTGCTTTCTTCCTCATTGTTCTTGAGGAGGCTACCATGTTTTTCAAGCTTTTTCTGGTCCTATTTTTAATCTAATTGCTGTTAGCTATAATCTTAGGTCAATTAAGTCAAATGCGGAGAACATTTTTGATGACTAACAACAAAAATGTAATAAAAGAGGTGGAGAACACACCAGCAAAATGTTTTGGAGTGTTTGGTGAGTGACTAAGTGAAAATGAGAAGACAAGGTTTAAACTAAGATTAAGTCCTGGGGTGTGGAATTTTGTTTATCCATTCTCTCCCTGGTTTTCCTAATGGCTTAGGATTCTTTCAGTTCCTACTATTTTGGGTTCAGAAGACAGGAGGATCTACATTTGTGGATGGTATTGTTGCTTGATAAGCTTGGACCAGGTGACATTAGCCCGTCCTATTTTACTTATAATCCTTCCACCCCATATATCCCAGAAAACTGCTTAAATGGCTGAGAGATGGAGGAATGCGTGTTGGACTCAACTCAGGTTCTGGTTTATCCAACATTGATCCTCTGAGGAATGACAGCTGTGGAACAAAAAGTCTTGGGTTAAGTTCCAGCAGCCACTTTAATCACTGTCTGTAACTGGAGAATGTGAAGTGAAGTTGAGTCACATAGAGGCAGTGGCAACATTGCGTTTTTGTTAAAATAACTATTCTCCTTTGGAAGGACAGCTACTTGGCAAGAGACAGCCAGGTTAATATTATCAGTTGGACACTTCTACGCAAATGCATTTTTTGCCTTAACAGATGGAGATAGCTGTGCTGTTCATATTTCATCACTTCTGCTAATCTTTTAGATTTCCAGTTACTTCCTTTAATCCTCATTGTTTACGGTAAGATTCTCTCTCTTGCAGGCTCAGCCATCTGATAAGTTCAATGCGTCTGTCTCTTGCTTGTCCTTCAGTGACTCAATATGTTTTGCATGCGTGGCACCCCTGTATATCAAAGGATGGGCAGAAAGACTTTTCTCTTTCCCTGTAAAATGGCAACACAGGCAAGTTGCTTTTCTTGAGTATGCAGTGGAACATTTTGCATTAATGACACTGGTGCAAATCCCATTTTCCAGGACGAGGGGAAGACATATGAATATTTAAACAGAAGTACTTTGATGTCAGGTGCCTGTTGTGGTTCAGTGCTTAGCATTTTTGCCAGAATCCCATTCCAAAGATTTGAGCACAATAATCCAGGTCAATACTTTCAGTGCAGTACTGAGGAAGTGCACATCAGAGTTAGCTTTGAAGAAATAAAGACTCAGAAATTAGGCTTCCTTTATTAACATTACACAGAGTTGTAATCTTCCCAAAGAGAAGTTAAACCAAAGCCCTGTCTATCATCAGATAGATATGAAAGATCTCTTGACAGTATTTCAAAGCATATTTCTCCCTGAACCAACATTACTAAAACAGATGATCTGATCATTATCATATTGCTGTTTGCAGACCTTGCTATATAGAGATTGGATGTTGTTTCGCCATCAGTGCATCTCCTACTGAAGCACTTTAGTATGAAGCCTGTGACACTGATGTTATCATTGTAGAGCCGCAATGCACTGGAAGCAGAACTGGAAGGAGTACGGCCCGGATGTTGACTGTCCCTTGCCGTCCCACTGGCTGCTCCCAAGTTGCTGATCACTCCTCTCATCATTGGTGGCTCCCCTCATTAATGATCACCCCACCGGCCACTCCCCTTATCACTCCCCTGGTCACTGGTCACCACTCTCACCAATGGCAACTCCCCTACTCACTGACTGCACACTGGCTACTCCCCTCATCACTCACTGTTCCCCGTTGGTCACCACTCTCTTCACTGGTGCCACATTGACCTCTTCCCTCATCACTGGCTGCCATTGGCCACTCCCCCCAAGGCTTGCTGCCCCCTGACAGTTCTCCTCATCTGACAGTCCAGCTGCCCAACCCATTGCTCGCATGCCTCGCTGTTGGCCATTGCTGTTCCCTGGTTGCTCCTCAATGCTCAGTTCATCACTTCATTCACAGGTGGGAGAGCGAGTGACAGACCAAGGAGTCTTCTGAGTGCTCTTCTTCCTAATCCTTTTCAGAGGTGCCAGGCTGCTACATGAGATACATTTTAAGTATGAAGTCTTTACACAAGTCCTGAGTTGCCACTGGAAGTGACCTCAAAAGGAACTGTGACCGGATGGGCAGTGATAGTATTCCCTACAGTTGCAGTGGCAATAAATGCAGCCTTCATACATTATAACAGGAACATCAATCAGGTTTGGAACACCCGCAGGTTATGAAAATTTTTATATAAAAGCAAAAAATTTCTGTATTTTACTCATAATATCAATAGTGCCATGTCAAAGCTTATGAACAATGTAACCACCAGCAATGATTACTTCCATCCTGTTTTCTGTATCATATGGATACTCATGGATAGTTGAAGCTCTGGGTAGGTAACACTAAAGAGAGCAGAGAGGAGATGCCATCTTATTCCTTTAACTGATGCCCATGTCTGGCAAAGTACTGGCCTCACCCTGTGACCCCTGAAGTCATGCTTTACGAAGCTGCTGTGGCTGTAAATACTGACAGTCCAGCACAACCTGAAACTGAAGGGAAATTCTTTGAGACTCCTGACTGGAGTGAATCTGCAACTCCTGGGCCTACAAGCGCATAAAGAAGTGGAGGATGGAATACAATGTGGGCAAGTGTGAGGTTATGCACTTTAGTCGAAAGAATAGAGGCATAGACTATTTTCTAAATGGAGAAAGACTTCATAAATCTGAAACACAAAGGGAGTTAGGAGCCTTAGTTCAGGATTCTCTTAAGGTTAACATGCAGGTTCAGTTGTCAGTTAGGAAGGTAAATGCAACATTAGTATTCATTTTAACAGGGCTAGAATACAAAAGCAAAGATGTACTGTTGAGGCTGTATAAGGCTTTGGTCAGGCTACTTGGAATATTGTGAGCAGTGTTGGGCCACGTCTCTAAGGAAGGATGTGCTAGCATTGGAGGGGGTCCAGAGTGGGTTTACAAGAACGATCCTGAGGATGAAGGGCTTGTCATATGAGGAGTGGTTGAGGACTCTGGGTCTATATTTGATAGAAATCAGAAGGATGAAGTGGGATCTCATTGAAACTTATGGAATACTGATAGGCCTGGATAGAGTGGACATGGAGAAGATGTTTCTGTTAGTAGGAGAGGCTAGGATCTGAGGACACAGCCTCAGAACGATGGGACAATCCTTTAGCATTCAGATGAAGCGCAATTTCTTCAGTCAGGCCGTGGTGAATCTGTGCAACTCATTGTCACAGAAAGCTGTGGAGGCCAGGTCATTGAGTATATTTAAGACAAGATAGATAGGTTCTTGCTTGTCACAGGGATCAAGGGTTATGGGAAGAAGGCAGGAGAATGGAATTGAAAAACACATCAGTCATGATCGAATGGCAGCACAGACTCAATGGGCCAAATGGTCTAATTCTGCTCCTTTATCTTACTGTCTTATATTTGCCGAACCTAAGCCCTTCTCTAATCCAGAAATTTCAAGGTCCACCTTTTTAATGTTCAAGAACGGCATGGTGGCTCAGTGGTTAGCACTGCTGCCTCACAGCGCCAGGAACTTGGGCTCGATTCCACCCTCGGGCAACTGTCTGTGTGAAGTTTGCATGTTCTCCCCGTGTCTGCGTGGGTTTCCTTTGGGTGCTCTAGTTTCACCCCACAGTCCAAAGATGTACAGGATAGGTTGATTGGCCATGCTAAATTGCCCATTTTGTTTAGGGATGTGAAGGCTAGGTGGACTAGCCATGGGAAATGCAGGGTTACACAGACAGGATAGGGGCTTTGTCTGGGTGGGATGCTCTTTGAAGAGTCAGTGTGGACTCAATGGGCTGAATGGCCTATTTCCACACTTTAGGAATTCTATTCTATTCTATCCTATCTATGCTATTGATGTCATCTGGCCAGAGTGATGATTTGAAGCAGGCAGTCAGCAGATTACAATGTGGAGGGTAGAATGAAAGATTATGTTTGTACAAGGAAATGAAATGGAATTATCTGACACACGGTGAGCTAAACGGGTCTTGATAACAAGCAATGATTAATCTGATTAGACATGAAGGAGATATTATATTGGAAAGTGATAGGAGCTGTTCGAGAAATCTGGAACTAAGAAGCAGGATAAAGTAATCAGTATGAGTGAAACACATTAAACATACTCTGCAGAGATAGTAGGAACTGCCGATGCTGAAGAATGAGATAACAAGGTGTAGAGCTGGATGACACAGCAGGCCAAGAAGCATCAGAGGAGCAGGAAAGCTGACGTTTCGGGTCTGGACCCTTCTTCAGAAAAAGATTTCCTGCTCCTCTGATGCTGCTTGGCCTGCTGTGTCCATCCAGCTCTACACCTTGTTATCTCAAACATACTCTGCAGACATGCATTCTGCCACAGCCACTGACTGTTAAGCATGTAATTAGTTTAATCATATTTTAGCAAAACCACTTTCTCCATTTAGCTCTCCTTTCATGAGTGTGCTGATTCTTGTTGAGATAGAATCCATGCGCCCTGACTTTGTACCTCAGCAATATGTTTAGTGTGTGAATGAAGGCAATGAGTGCCATTAGGAAATTCAGATGCAGGAGAAATCATGGCCAAGTTTGCTTTTGTCCTCACCTAACGTTTGTGCATACATCTTCCAGCATAGCTCACTGGACAGAGATCAAAAACAGATCCCTTTGACCAAGTCATTACATGGACTAGATCACCAAGCTCTTCACTAAAACATGCCCATTAAATACTTCTACCTGTTGCAGATTCTTTGGAAGCACGAACCCGCACACTGCCATGATAAACCGATGAGGTTCTGACAGAGTTACGACGAGGCCCTTCAGCTATTAGTTCACCTTCTCCAGACTCTGCAGGCAGATAGAGGGTCAAAAGTGGTCATGAGCTGCGATCAACATAACAAATGTATTTTAAACACTTTGACTGCAAAAGTCAAAAGCACACTACAATACCATTCAGGACTTTAAATTAAATATCATAGGTTGCACTGTGCATACAAATTAAGATACTGAGACTGGTCAGTGTGAGTGAAAAATCACCAGAATCTATCAGTCAATGTGAGAGATCAGAGTGATCTGTCAGGGTGAGAAACCATAAGGATCAATCGGCGTGGGTGATAATTCCCAGGGATCAATCAGCATGAGACACACCACAGGATGGGTTAGGGTGGATGAAAGATCAGGGGAACAATCAGCGTGAGTGAGAACTCACAAGGATCAGTGGGTGAGGAATTACAGGGATGGGTCAGTGAGAGTGAGAAATCATCTGATTGATCAATGTGAAGAGGAATGAGGAACTGTGACACAGAGTCAATTCAGGCATTCAATTATAGAACATGCCTTTTGCAAAACATGGCATTATCGTGCAGGTGCTTCTGCTTGAAGGCTGTAACCTGCCAATGGGAGAACTGCCAGAAACTGCCAGTGCTTCTGTGTGAGTTGATATTTTTGACAGTTACTTTATTCAGTGCAGCCAGCAACACAAAAGACTCCTATCTCCTTCGATTCCTATGAAGGTCACGCTCAATCATTTCTTTCTCAGGTTCCACAGGTTGCACTCCTTGGGCAGTTTCACAAGCCTCCCATTTCCAATCGACACATCTCACCTGTGGCTGCCTTGTAGCCCAGGAATCTGGCAATCTTCTGGTGACAATGTTCCTGCTCCTCATATGTCAGCAGCTGATAGATGAACTGCCATATTACCTGCTTCGCTGGCGTATCCAGAACAGGGTAGATGTCAACAATCAAAGTATCAATGTTCCTGTCGGAACAGAAATACAGTTTCAGTCCAGAGCTTGGCCTACCCCTTGTAAAGTGCAGAAAATCAGCTCTGCTTTTCAATCTTTCTGCAGAAGGTCGGAAAATGTTAACAGATCAAGAGGTACAGAAGAAGAAAAAGATATCTGGGTTCAGATTTTCCAGCAGAACATGTTCCAGACCTCTTGCCATAACTTTGGTAAAAGATGTTGGAACTCCTGAAGCAACTGTATGAATGGGGCACCTACACGTTACATTGGCATAGACCTCACAGTGTTTGAGATGATCTCTGTGCAATCTCTCCTCAACATATGTCCTGGAGTAGGATTCTGGACCATGACCCTGATGTTGGAAGTTACAGACAACACTGTGTGGGGAACAGTAATTCCAATTCCACCCCCAAGTGGCCAATCCACTGGGGATGGTTCCGGCAAATCAGAAAATTATAGAATCTCTACAATGTGGAAGCAGGCCATTTGGCCCATCGAGTCCACACTGACCCTCCAAAGAGCATCCCACTCACACCCACCCACACCCACCCTCTACCCTATCCTTGCATTTTGCACCTTGGACACTATGTAAATTTAGCATGGCCAATCCACCTAACCTGCACATCTTTGGATTATGGGAGCACACCGAAACACCTGGAGGAAACCCACGCAGACACGGGGAGAATGTGCAAACTCCATATGGACAGTTGCTCGAGGCTGGGATCAAACCCGGGTCACTGGTACTGTGAGGCAGCAGTGCTAACCCACTGAGCCACTGTGCTGCCCATAATGCCCTGAACTTCAGCACATATAAAACAAGTTTGCACTATGTGCCACTGGGCCTCGTCCTATAATTTACAACTATATAACTAGGGGAAACAGAATTCACACATACACCTAAATGCTGAATACAAACATATTGAAAAATACTCACCCTTCCTCTACCCACCTAAGTACCCTTGGGGGAAAAAATTCTGCTCCTGACCTCTGAACAGGCCCTGTAGTGTCTCAGATGATCCCTTACAGACTTATGTGAGTTGATCTCTATATACACTATTCTCATGCTGCAGTCAACTAACTATAGGTTTTTATGTGAGACTGAATCACCATCCTTCATGGATAAGTCCATACAACGAGCTTCAAGCAGGCCAAGCCTCTAATCTAACAGTAGGAGTGATGCCTACCTGTGCTGGAAGAAGCCCTCAAGTGCCTTACAGACACTGTACCGCTCATGGGGGGTCAGGAGGTGCTCCAGTTGCTGGGTGAACGTTCTCCCTTGGACCTTTACACTGGGTGGCAAGATTTCAGACACCCACTGTAGAGATGTCAGCGATGAGGTGTATGTGGGTGAGTTTCCAGGGTCTGGCTCTGAGCATTGTGACACGACGAATGGAAAGGAAACAGTGGAAAGGAGTTTTAATACACAGTCAGAAACACATACATATGCACATATCTATGCAAATAGGAACTTTTGCCCAGCAACACATGTACAAATACATGGATAGACAGACAGGCACAGATATAAGTGCACAATATTTGATCAATCTCTCCTTTAAACACAGGATCATAGAAACAGCACGGAAGGAAACCAATGTATCCAGCCTGTGTTGGCTGTTTGAAAGAATAGTTGTGCTTAATACAATACCATTACTCTTTATCCCATATCTGTAGTTTGTAGCTACTGACTACATTCTGGTTGACCTGGGTCACTAAGATTGCTTGGAGCAACCCACGTAGATAATCTGGAAATCAATCAGTAATAGGCCTTAAAAAGGAGACAAGAGCTGGACTAAGCCATCTTTTGGAACTGTCCATGTGAACGTGCCACAGGGACTTGTAGAATCATTTACAATCATAACTGGGAAAAACAGAATTCACACATCAACCTCAATACTGAATACAAACATATTGAAAACTACTTGCCTTTCATCTCCCTATCTAGGTGCCCCACAATGGTCATGTGGGAGAAAAGCCTGTCGAGAAATAAGAGACAAACTCCCTAATCAGAACTAGCCTAACAGGCTGTTCAAGCAACTCTTTCTTCAGGAACTTGAAAGTGCATTTGTAAAAGAGTGGGTGATGGACAAATATTGTCCAGCAGAAGGTGCTATCAGGCCGCAAATAGTCTAAAAATTGTACTGCAAATCCTTTGTCTTGGCATATTGATACTTGGGAAAAGGGCTTTCACACATCAAGTAAAATCCTGTTTTCAGCTATTATTAAATTGTGTCAAATATAGCTAGTATTTAAGGAGAAATCTACACTCCCTGTAATTAACTGAACAAGCTTTGTTGTATCCAAAAAGAAACTAAACAAAACTAGTACCTCGAAGTTAACACTATGGTTTAAAGATATTTCCTGTTCAATTGTGCAAACATGTTATTACACACCTCTGGAGCAGGTGGGACTTGAATACTGGCCTCCTTGCCCAGAAGTAGGGATACTATCATACTATAGTTTATAAACTTGGTTCCACTTGTTACTTACCCTCAAGACTCCCACTATTGAAAAAAAATAAGGTTAATTTAGGCTTGAAGGTTCATTCAAGTTTTTAAGGGCCAATTCAAAAGGTTTGCCTCAGCCCTCCAGAAGTCAGGTTGGTTTCTCTTCAGTGCTCCACTATTCTCAAGTGTTTGAAATTTCAAAGTGACCCTTCTGTTAGATATTGGTTAAGCAACCTTCCAAATTACTTTTAAGACCAGACAACAGTACACGCTTCGGCTCAAACCTAAGCTTTGTTGCATTTTTGCTGAAAGCTTTTAATATCAGAACTCCTCTAGTTCCAAATAACCTTCCATTTTCTCATGATTTCAGTACAGTTGCAGATCTCATAGCTGATGCCCTGCTCCTGGAAGATGTTCTCTCTCTGGCTGTTCCAAGGCAACTACTTCAAAGTTAACTGCAAACTGTGTTCTACCACAAGGCTATGTGAGATACATGACCATTTTTAACCATCTAGCTTTGAGCAGGCAAATCTTCCAGCTCCTTTTGCACTCAAATTCTAAATTGAATTCCAGCCTCACCCGCATTCCATGAAGTGAACAATAATGCTAGTATTGTCGCTGCTTAAGGTACATACCTGACTAACATTTATTTTGTTTGGTTCTCCAAACTCAGAGATTTGCAGTCTACATCTGACCAAAACCACAACTGTCGCTTCTGTGAACTACACAGACTAATTAAAAAGAGGAACCCATTCTAATCCTCAAATTCCATCTCTACAATAATGTGGCAGGCTTTAGCATATTCTTAATTAGAAATCTAAATCAATTATTTTACCTTCAGCACAGCTCTTTCATTATGTTACCTGTATTAATAATTTCTATCTCTAATGGAATTTTATGACTCTTTCCCAGAACTGTTACCTTTTAGATACTTCTATAGAGATAACAATAGATACATTGGCTCTACCACTAGATTAAGGAATGGGTCATTCACCATTCTGTGCTTTCACTTCTACCTCTGACATGGAAGATAAACATGGGTTTTTGTTTAGCTGTAATTAACCAAAGTGTGTTTGTATTGCATTCACTTCAGTGTCGTTTATCAGTTTCTCAATCAGATGCACCCATTTATCTATAATTAAAACTTTAACTTCTACAATTTAAAGCCTTATTCTAAAACACATGAATTATGAACTAAAACATTCATAATAGTGGAGACAGTCCCAAAACACATGACCCATTACTAAAGATCCCAGTTGTTTTGGCCTCAGTGCCGTAAGATTAAGGAAGTAATCTTTGGTAAGGATGGGGATGATGAGTATACAGGACTTTGTGCAAGAGAGGAGCTGGATAGCAGGAAAACACTTATCTTCCAGAAGAAACAGTAACTTCCCATTAATCCTTCCCGAAAGGATTGACATTGAGGGCTCGAAATTTAGGGCCATAATACTCCTGGAACCAGTGATATGGAAACGATTTTGTTTAGAATGTATAACCAAACACAACAATGGGAATTTTCTACGTTGATTCTCTAAATCATCTCTGTTGCTTCAGAAAAAAGCCCATTTACACAATTTATACAGGGCTCCTGCAACGGATCAAGAGAATCTAATGGCATATTTTATTGCAACAGCTTTACACTCATTGCCGTGTCCAACAATAATTGCACTTACCAAGGGGGTAGTTAAAAGGTCCATCTTCCACCACAAGAGTGGGCATCGCTCCACTGCCCTGTAACATGGCCACCACCTTCTCATGGGAGCAGTTTCTAAAACACATGCAAAAAAACCAGTGATCACATCAGTGCACTCAACTGAAACAAACTGTGTAGGCTCAGAGCAGCTGAAAAACCAGTGGACACTGCATTCAGGCCTACAACTGGATCCAGCCAAAATGGATTCTATTGAAGCCCTTTCGCTTGGTAGTCTCCACCTCATTCAAGGAAGGTACAATCCCACTTGCCAGTATCTGTCAATCTCACACTGAAAAGCTCTGGGATGGAAACACTACACCGATGCAGTAGGAAATACTATTAAAGTACCTCATTGGGACAGAGGAGAGACTCACCCTCTGTCTCAAAGGTACCATAACTGACCTGGGAGCATTTGATAGGAGAATGTAGAAGAAGCTTTATTCTATACACACCTCACACCATACCTGACCTGGAATTGGTTCATGTGGCAATGCACAGGAAGGTTTACTCTATATGTACCCTGGATTATACCTGAACTTGGAACGTTGAATCCAGCAATGTAAAAGGTTTTTCCTCTGTATGTACCCCATGCAGCAGCCCAGTGGTAAGATATTATTGTGTGTTCGTATGTCCGATGCATGCAGTAAATGTTCCGAACTCACCTCATGTCTAGCCCATTGAGAAACAAAATTCGATCCCCTGCCTTCAATCCGGATTTCTCAGCTGGACTTCCTGAAAGGGGCACATGAATGAGCAACAGAGGGAGATCCAGAAAACTTGTATTAACTATCACTATTGCTAGAAACTTTAGACAAACATAAATTTTCACAGTCTTTTTTTTTCTGCTGTTCCCTGTCTCTCCACTCCAGTATACCTCAGCCTGAAAGATATATTACTGAAACACCATTCAGATCAGGCAGCAGCCTGGCCCAGGACAATGGATTCTGGCACTTCTTCAGCCACCACCTCTACAGTACTCCGTCCCCATATACCCAATGCCACAGTGCTTCCTGTGCCTCTCAAGTATGCCCGTGGCTACCCCAAGTGCAAGATTATGCATTCTTTGAAGCTGATCTTATTATTAAAGCAAAGCAAGGTTAAGGCGGCTAGTAGCACCCATCTCAGTCATGATAAACTTGCCAAGTTGATCACAGCAAAGAAAGAATCAATCAATTCGGAAATATAAAATCTGCAGCCCATTCACCAGAACATCTCACTCACAAAATCCTTGGTGTCTAAATCGACTGACAAGCCCTCACTTCACTGACTGCAATTTAAAACTCACCAGGGATAACGGACTCAAGCCATACAGGGCCATGGCCTCGCAGGGTAAAGCCAAAGCTTTTGTGACCTTTGTACACTCGAATTGTTCTATTGAAAAGAAATTAATAATTAAAATTTATTTAAAAGATAAACAGTTTAATATGAAAGGAGCAATTCTTTGGGAAAAATCTTGGTCTGAAGAAGTCCCAGAAGGGAGTGAGACTACTAAGAATGTACATTAGTTTCTGGACATACTCGGGCTTGGAGCTATGACTTTTGCCAATCTGTGTCTCGATGTTCTGGACTTAATTCAAGCACGGGTGCTCCTATCGTACAAGTTCCTCAGTAGCTTGGGTCAGACAGGTAGCAATATGTTATGAATGGACAACTATATTTTCATCAAATCACTCAGCATGCAATGTACCATTGTCCAGTGTAAGAGACCACATATTTTCATTTCTGGAACTATAAACTGAAATGGAAGCTAGACTACCAATAACTGGAATACTAAGAGAGTTTTGCAACTTGAAGAAAAATCAAATGCTGCATCTTTTTTGAGCTTTGTGATACAATGTTGCTTTTTAAAACAGTGAGAGGGAGGATTCAAGATTGTGGGCCACCAAGTGTCTTTTGAGTTGAGGAAATCCTGCCTGACCACAGGCCTCTGATTGGTTGAGCATTAGAGTATTAAAACATTGTAAGTCTAGGGTAGCAGAGCCTGTAAACAGAAAGATCCATCACTCCCTTTCTCTCCATGTGAGAAAAGAAAAACCAAAAACGCTTAAAAGAAAACATTCTAAAACAGGAAAAGGCCAAGGAACACCCAATCAACTATCAAATTAAAGAATGACCATTACCCTATTGACAACAGCATGCCATTGTTGTTAAAATTAAAAGGACTGTAAGCAAAATAACTTTCACCTTTGGGTTTGGATAATTCAATCTTTAGGATTTTGTTTACCCTGTCCATTTGCTTCTTCCATCTTTTGCATCTGCATTAAACTATTTGTCTTTTTGTATGCCTTGATTGTGATGGAGTGTGCGCGCATTTGGGGTTCTTGAAGAAAGATAGTTTTACATTGTGTAGTAGTAGATTTAGAATCCTCTCTTTTCTCTGCTCTTGTTTAAGTTAAGTATTTTAAAATTGAGTTATTTTTTATTAATGATAAAATATTTGCTTTTGTCCTGCATAACAGTCAGTCATATTGGTCATTTTGGTCACCTAATTGGGATTTTATACATTTTACCACGGCCTGTGAAACAGTGGGGAATGACTATCAATAAGTTTTTCCAAGCTAAATTGTGCTGCTAGATACATTCTTAGCCAGGGGAATTAAAGCGAGCATTTCTGCTGTCTGATGGAAGTGGAAGATGGGCATTGGTATGAAAGTATGAGCAGAAGGTTCAGATTTTTGCTCTGACAATCATTACATGGATCAGGCATGTGTTAAAATATAGTCAGAGTCCAGCTGAGGTCATTGGCCTTGATTAATATTTACTGCATGGCCCAGCTGGCTTCAGGCAGTGTCCTTGGCATTTGCACCGAAAAGTGGGTTAAAATCAGACACAGCAGGATCAAGATGGCTTTCTGGCATTTTAACTACCAATCTGTTGATTGCGTGGGTAGAGATTTTCTTTTTCCTTCCCATCACCAGGCCTAAAGGCAGGCTGGGCAGAGTCCATATCCCTTTAAAGCCATGGAGGATGCAAATGATTAAGTTCTTTTCAAGCAGCGTTCTTCCATTTTGTTCCTTCCCTCCACAGAATGGGTCGATGCTTCCACAGGTCAAGTCTGTAGTGATTGTAAGGAGGTCAGCCAGGTGGACATCACAGAATAGGAGTTCCCCGATTGGGGCTGTTAATCTGGTCCAATCAGAGAGCCTTCGCTGACAGATAAGAACAGGAGTGTCAGGCATCGTGTTCACTCTGAGGGAGCTCGATCAACGTCAAGGACTCTCCACGTGAAAATAAAGGGTGACTTGGTGACAGGATACTGGCCTCTGTTGAGTTATTTCAGAATCCTTGTTTATCTTTCTGCAAATACCACACCTGCACGGCATTTTTAAAATAATCATTGAAACAACTCAGTCTTGTTTACTTTGCCACCCCTAGCTTCAGTCTGCCAGTGTCTCAGAAATAATTCCCCACCTACAGCAGGTGGGGTTAGTCATTACAGTTCTGCCTCCACACCGGAGTTGCCATATAACAAGCATCCATTAAAAATCAAATTCAGCATGTGAAGTGAAGAGGGAATACACAGTGAAAAGAAACAATGAGATGGACCATGTACAGACAAGAGGGAAAATTATGAATGGTTTTGACAGAGTAAATGAGGAGAAGCTGTTTCAAGTGGCAGAGGGCTCAGTAACCAGAAGATATGGATTTACGATGATTGGTAAAAGAAAAGCAAGAGTTACTTGAGGGAACTATTTTCCCACTAATGTGGAATGTGCTGCTTGAATGGTTGATGCAAGCAGATTCAACAGTAATGTTCAAAAGAATTGGATATATACCAGAAAGAGGAAAGTAATGAGAACAGAGCAGAGGGAAGAATTGGATGACTTCATCAAAGTGCTGGTGCAGGTACAATCCATGTCCCCTCCAAACTGCATGGCCACAAGGAGCTATGCACACCAGTCAGTGTGCTGACACCCATGCCAAAATATTCACTTCCAGTTTTTCTAGACTCTACCAAGCACGGACCTTGGTGGCCTGTGCAGCAGTGAGCGAAATTAGAGTTATGATGGGCCAAACGGCCTTCTTCTGTGTTGCTGTATGATGTTAGGAGACAGAGAAATTAAATCGAAAAGACTGGCCCTGCACAGTTGGAGAGAGAGATAAAACACTGAAACAAAGAAGGGATGAAGAGAGGTAAGAGACTGTATTGGAACCATGTGGGTTTTTATCCCACCATACATTGTTACCATTGGGAGGTGGATGTCACTGGACTAGTTATCCAGAGGGCCACGGCAGATGGTGAAATTCAAATTCAATTAATAAATCTGGAATTATAAAGGCAATCTAATGGTGACCATAAAGCCATTGTTGTACAAACAAGTTGATGCATTAAATGAAGATAATCCACTGTCCTTCCCTGGTCTGGCCTACACGTCACACCAAACCTACAACAATATGAGTGAATCTCAAATGATCTTGAAAATGCATTGAATCGCTATGATGTCTAAGAAAAAGAATGCAAGCAGATGGCCCACGCAGAATTAAATATTAGAAACAACACCAGCAAACATAGGTCTCCCAACCCTACAAAATTCTACTCACTAACATGTATCAAAATTGGGAGCATTGTCTGACAACAACAGCCTGACATAATATACTCAGGAAATCATAGCTTACAGGTAAAGTCCCAGACACCATTATCACAATCCCCAGCTATGTCCCACCAGAACAGCTGGCACAGTGGTGTACAAATGGGAGAAAGTTGCCCAGCAAGTGCTCAACATTGATTCTGTACCCCATGAAATCTTAGGACATCAGGATCAACATGGGCAAGAAAACTCCTGCTGATTACCACTTACAGTGTTGTTCCACAAGAACCCACCCCCACCCTCCCCGCAGCCTCCTCCATGTGAAACTCCAATTAGAAGAAGCACTGAGCACAGAAAATCCATCACTAAGAGTGGTTTGGTAGCACCACTACTGACAAAGTTGGTGGAGGCCTAGGAGACAAAGGTGCTACACTGGAACTAAAGCAGGTGGTGATGGAACCAACAGGAGGGAAAAATCTACTTCACTACATTGTCCTCAGCAATATACCTGTCAGAGATACATTTACCCATGACATTATTAGTAGGAGAGACTACTACACAGTCCCTGTGGAGACAAAATACTGTGTGGTATTATTACTGTGCCCCGGTTGCCTCCCAGTCCAAAGATATGCAGGTTAGGTGGATTGGTCATGCTAAATTGGCCATAGAGTCCAGGGATATGTAGGTTAGGTGAATTAGCCATGGGAAATGCAGGGTTACCGGGATGGGGTAGGGGGTGTTCCTGGTGGGATGCTCTTTGGAGTTTCGGTGTGGACTCAATGCACCGAATGGCCTGCTTCCACACTGTAGGGATTCTATGAAATGGAATAGATTTCAAATAGATCTAGCAATTCCAAGCTTAACATCCCAGGGACACTCTGGGCCATAAGCAGCAGTTTATTCAAACATAATCTGCAACCTCTTGGCCCAGCACATTCTCCGCCTCAACATTCTTATAAAGCAGGTTCAATGAAGAGTGCAGAGGGCATGCCAGCAGCAGGAGTAGGCATATTTAAAAGTGAGGTGTCAACCTGGTGAAGCTACAAAACAGGAATACTTGCATACCAAATAGCAAATGCATCATGTGACAGACAGGGCTATGCAATTCCAAAACCAAGGGATTAGATCTAAACTCTGCAGTCCTGCCAATTCCAGCTGTAAGTGGTGGCAGGCTAATGCACAACTAACAGGAAGAGCAGACTTCACTAATATCCCCATGCTCAATGACAGGGGAACCCAGCACATCAGCGCAAAAGACAAGGCTGAAGCATTTTTGTCCAGCTTCAACCAGAAGTGTGGAATGGAAGATCAATCTCAACCTCCTCCTGAGGTCCCCAGAAACACCAGTCTTCAGCCAATTCCATTTATTCCAGCTGATATCAAGAAACAGCTGAAACCACTGGATACCATTAAGAACCCTGACAATTTTTAGCAGTAGTACTGAAGACTCATGCTCCAGAATAAGCAGTAACCTTGGACAAACTGTTCCAGTAAAGATACAACCCTGGAATCCATCTGGCAATGAGGAGGAATGGTTCAGGTATGACCTGCACACAGAAAAACAAGTCGAGTCTATCCCAGCCATCAGTCTACACTCGATCATTAGCAAATTGCTGGAAACAGTCATTACCAATGCTGTCAAGCAGCATTTGATCAGTAATAACCTAGTCACTGACATTCAGTTTGGGTTTCGCCAGAGCCACTCAGCAACTGACCCCATCGCATCCTTGGTCCAACATGGATAAAAGAGATGAACTCCAGAGATGAGATGAGAGTGACTGGTTTTGGCACCAAGGCAGCATTTGGCAGAATATGGCATCAAAGAGCCTTAGCGAAACTGAAGTCATTAGGAGTTGGGAGGTAAAGTTTCTCTTGGTTGCACTCATACGTAGCACAAAGGAGATCAATCATCTCAGTCCCAGACAATTACTGCAGGAGTTCCTCAGAATATTGTCCTCAACCCAACTATATTCAACTTCTTCATCAATTATCTTTTGTCCTTCATAAGGTCCAAAATAGGGATGTTCGCTGATGATTGTTCAAAATATAGCTCCGTTCACAACTTCTCAGACCCTGAAGTAGTCTATTTCTGTATGCAGCAAGTCCTGGATGACAACAAAGCTTGGGTTGGTAAGTGACAAGTAACATTCATGCCAAACAAGTACCAGGCAATGACCATTTCCAAGAAGAATCCTTCACTACCAACACCCTGGGTGTACAGTTGACCAGAAACTGAACTCGACCCACTGTAGGAACATTGTGGCCACAAAAGCAAGTCAGAGACAAGGAATTCTGCAGCATGTAACTCATCTTCTGTCTCCCCAATGCCTGTACACCACAATAAGGCAGGAGTGTGATCAAATACTCTGCATTTGCCTGAATGACTACAGTTACAATGACACTCAAGAAGCTCCACATCATCCAGGACTAAGGAACCAAGTTGCTTGGTACCCCCAACCACCATAAACAAAATGGACACCCTTCATCATTAATGCACAGTGACATCAGGGTGAGAACAATAGAGTCATAGAGTTATTGCAGCACAGAAAGAGGCTCTTTGGCCTATCATATTGGTGTCAGTCATCAAAAATCCCATTTTCCAGCATTTGGCCTGTAGCCTTGATTGCTGTGGAGTTTCAAATGCTCATCTAAATAGTTCTTAAATGTCTTGAGGGTTTCTGCCTCTCACAAACTTTTAAATAGTGAGTCCAGAAAGCAACAATCCTCTGGGTGATTTTTTTTCTTTAAACCTCCTGCCCCTTGTCTTAAAATTGTGCCCCCAGTTACTATCCCCTCTATCAGGGAAAATGTTTCACTTTCTTCACATGTTCTTCGTGCACCTTAATCAGATACCTCCTCAGCCTTCTTTGTTCTAAGGAAAACAATCACAGCGTTTCTAATCTCTCTTTATAGCTGAAATACCCCCAGACAACCTTCTGTTGAATCTCATCTGCACTTTCTCTGGCACAATCATATCCTTCCTATGGTGTGGCAACCAGAACTACACACAGTAGTCTAGCTGTAGCCTCACTAACATTATATACAGCTCATCTCTTGCATTAATTGCCTTGAATAATAAGGTCACGTATCCCATATACATTCTTAAACACCTAATCTACCTTTCCTGTTGCCTTCAAGGATCTCTGGACATACAATCTACTATCTATAAGATGCATTGTTGCAATTCACCAAGGATCCTCTGACAGCACCTTCCAAACCTATGACCTGTACCACCCACAGTGCTGTTAAATAGGGAGTTCCAGGATCTTTACCTGGGAACACTGACAAATCAGCAGCATAAATTGAAGAAGTTAAGCTGGTGTGTGGCTTGAAGGAAAACTTGCTGGTGAGTGCTCCCATGTATTTGCTGCTGACATACAGAAAGCGGAGAGTGGGTGTAAATGAGTCTTTGTTCAGGTCAGCAAGAGGTAATGAGTGGTGTGCCACAAGAATTGGTGCTGGGCCCTTAAATGTTTACAACCTGTATCAATGACTTGGATGAAGGGGTGAAAGATATGGTCGCTAAATTTGCTGCTGACACAATGACAGATAGGAAATCAAGTTGTAAAGAGGACATGGGGAGGATCCAAAAAGATATAGGTGGATTCAGTGAATGGGTGAAAATGTGCGGTATAATGTATGAAAATGTTAAATTGTCCATTTTGGCAGGAGGAATAAAAGTGAAGCATATTATCTAAATGAAGAGAGATCACACAACTCCCAGTGCGCGAATCACAAAAGATTGTATGTAGATACAGCAAGTAATTAGGAAAGCTAATAAAATATAAAATATTATTTATCACAAGGAGAAATGAATGCAAACGTAGGGAAGTTATGCTTCACTTATACAGGGCATAGTTGGCGACCACATCTGAAATATTGTGCAGTATAATTCATTTTGCTCAAGGAAGGATGTAAATACATTGGAAGTAATTCAGAAAAAGAGCACCAACCCAGTCACTGTACGACAGTTTCCCAATACAAGCATAAAACAAGAACACATAATGGGGAGCCAATATAGATGCAACACAAGAAAAAGAGAACGAAAATGACTCTAAAGTTCACAGCTGCAAGCATGGCATGTGAATGCATGACAAGGGTATTCCTATGTTAATATGACATGATGCACAAATACAAACATTGTACTAAAATGAATCAAAGCAAGGATGAGTCAAGAAAGCAAACTTGAGAGCCTATCAATGCAAACACTGGACAACATCACAACACATGCTGCACAAGCACGTACCAACCTCAAACAAAACATGTATCTTTACATCTTTCAGACATATGAATAACAAACAGTGTTCAAGGGGTATAATGGTGCCTCATCCTAGAAGACTTCAAGTTCAGATAAAACACAGTAAGGATACAGCTCCTACTACCTTAACAATTTATTGAAAATCTAACTAACGTGTTTTTACAAGGGTTGTTTTTCATGATCGTCATAGTGGTAGCATCAGTACAGAGCTCTGAGCATCCATACTACAATATGTGACTGATAGCAAGAAGTAATCTGTCTGCTTACCTACGGGAGGTTCCTGCCCTCACGCTTCCTCCTAAGATAGAGCCTGTCTTTCGGATGCTGTGCCCTGGTTCCTCCGGATTCCGAGGAGTTGAGCTGGCACGGGTGGACACAAGCAGGCGTTCCTGGTGGTCTTCACTCCTGCTTCTACGTAGGCGGCTGCTGCTGTCAATCCTGTTCTTGCTGCTGCGAATCTTGCTGATAAGGCTCTGTGACACAACTTCATCGAACCGCTGTCGGTGCTTCTTTGGAATAAAAATCCTGACAAACATGGTAGAGGAGAGAGAAAAGAAACATCAAGCCTTCAGCACAAAGCACAGCTGACTGACTCTGAGCAGGTGTGAACAGTCAGGGAGGATTGAGCTAATCACCTCCTCCGGTTAACATTGCTTCATCTACAGTCATTTACCTTGCCCACGTGAGCATCTATTTTCTGAAACTGTGGGCAGTGCCAGCCTTCCACTTCAAGCTGACACTCTTGTAAAGTTGACATTTTATTTACTCACTTACAGAGGTTCCTATTCTAACACATAAGGCACCTGCACTGTAGGTATGTTAATACTGGTTTAGCATTCAGATTGGCAATTTAATAGATTCAGAGTTAAGAAGGCTAGGTTGAGATTGTTTTAGCTGCCCCAGCTGAGTACTTTCTGCAGCTGAGGTTTGAAACTTACAATGCCAAGGGCATGAACTGTCTCTGTGCTAGTCAAATATTCTTCAGTGTGAGCACCTACACATTGTACAGAATTAGTGGAATCACAGCTCTCAAGCCAGTCTGAGAGAGGGCAAGAACTGCAGACACTGGAGTCAGAGATAACAAAGTGTGGAGCTGGGGGAACACAGCAGGCCAGGCAGCATCAGAGGAGCAGGAAAGCTGACGTTTCGGG